TACATACATACATATACTTTTTTTTTGGGGGGGGGTGTTGGTGCACGGGGTTAATGAAAGTAATTATTGGGGACATGTTAAGGGTCACAGCAAGAAGGTCCTGGCTTCCATCCCCAGTTCAAACTTGGGGGTCTTACTGTGTGGAGTTTGCATGTTCTCCTCGTACTCAAGTGGGTCTTCTCCAGGTACTCTGGTTTCCTCCACACCCTAAAAAAATTTGGATAATAGTTACATTCAGACCCAGGCCACCATTGCAAGAGATCTGTGATCTCAACGGGATTTAAATGGATCCTGAGAAGCTCTAAAGTGTTTTTAACTCTGCATCATCCCTCATCCAAGGAACATTAAGGTTTAAATACAGAGTGGTCTTTTTGGAGAAAACAAAGGGCCTACGTATGAGGACCCTGCTCATATGGGGTTTTATCCCCCCAATCTTCCAACCATCAGCCAGCAAAGCACTAGCATGAGTCCAATGATCAAAATTTAAAAAAAAAAAAAAAAAAAAAACAGTACTGCTGCTGCACTCCGTGGCCTTAAATAGCAAGGAGTTAACTTTCAAAATGTAATAAATAAATAAAAAAAGGAACAACCATCAGGTAAAGTGGTCCGAAAACAAACAGCATAACTGGTTTTGAAAAGATTTTGTTTAGTCTGGTCACCTTCCACTAAAACTGATCAAAAGAGAAAGCACACACACAAAAAAAGTTTAGTTTATATACCTTTATTTCAGTTTGTGCAAGTTGTACATGAGATGGTTTGTCATTTTTATGGAAGGTACAACAATTTTACACAATCCTGACCAGGTCTTTAAAATTCCTTCAACTCTAAAGTGTAACATTCAATCACAACACTACTCAGGTTAAATAGAATATATGGCTTTTAAATTATCTACACAGTGAATAAAATAAAAACAGCTGTTTAACTGTTGAACACAAGTGTTACAGGTCGAGTGGTTAAAAAAAATCTTATGTATTACTCTGGCAGTTTTAGACCTGAACAAAGTTGTATTGTACAGACGCAATAGTTGCAAGTCTTGCACTTGGTCCTAAGAAAATTACTCACACTGAACGTAAATCCCATACATAAAAAAAAAAAAGAACTGCATGATTAAACCAAAAATGTTCCAACTAAAAACTATTAAGAAAAAAAATATTGGACATTTATTCTTAGCATTTCTACATTTAGTGTCAACTTTAATTCTTTTACTGGGTTAAAAACCAAACAAGCAAAAAAGAAAAAAAAGATGAGAAATAGCATTTAAGGCAAAGAGCATTGGAATTCAGATTGTTTAGTAGATGTGAATTCCACTGCGCTCTCCCAGTATGACGGGGATGTACTGGGATCAAAAGCATTCCACATCCTGGACTCAAAACCTTGAGCTGCTTTACAAGAGGCCATCCCACAGTAGATTTTTTAAAAAAGCGATGACAACTGAGGTCTGTGCAGAGTGTCAGCGAAAAAAACAGAAGATCACAGACTAAGCATTCTTCAGTAAATCATTCTAAGAATCATTCAGCACAGCAACACATACTTTTGGCTAAAACATCGTTAAAATTCATGCAATATTTGCCCAGGATCTCAAGCAGAATCTTCATCTGGGAATGACAAAAGAAAAACAAAAAACATTAAAAGGAATTTTATAGCTGAGAATATTAAAAATTACTTTTTAAAAATATAAAATTGAACAAATTAGCTCAGTGATAACATCTGCCTTTGTTTTACCAACCCAATTCCTAAAGAACTTTTTTTTTTTTTATTTCAGAACAGGTTAACAGTATCACACAATTTCAAGTAAAGAATAGGGTTGGGTGATATTGGAAAAAGACACAATTTGTGGCGTTAAACTTGACAACAATTAACATGATTAATCCCCTGGACATCCCAGTCATGCCTGATTTAAAATCGCTCTAGTGGGAATAATTTTTATTGTGTAATGTAATTACTGACCTGAAAAATTATTTTTTTATTACCTGAAATTTGACAAGCGCCAAAAAATAAAATATCTACACGGAGGAAATAAAAGACACAAAAGTTGAATGAAGTTTGGTGGCAGTAAAGACGAGTAGTGGGAGTTAGAAATGAAATTTGAGAGATTTATATGTAGCGTGTTTGAATTTTATGGTTAGAGAAATGGAAACGTTAAAAAAAAAAATGGAGGAAACCCTGCCCAAAAAATAAATAAATTAATTAAATTAAAAAAATGGATGCAAGTATTATTGCAGGGGACTGGCTATTCAACCAAGCACTGAATCCCTCCAAATTAAAACAGTATCTAGAACGGGGATAGTCAATCCTGGTCCTCGAGGTCCGCAGCCCTGCGTGTTTTACTTGTTTCCCTTCTCTAACACACCTGATTCTGTTAGTGAATTACCTCTTCCAAGTTCTGCTGAAGCCTGAAAATCCTCCAGTCAAATCAGGTGTGATGGAGCAGAGAAACAAGTAAAACGTGCAGGGCTGCGGCCCTCAAGCACCAGGATTGACTCCCTGATCTAGAATGTGTCACAAATATGAAGAGCAGCTTCGGGTTGTGGTGGTGGGTAGGGGTGCACAGATTTCCTTAGTTTGGGAAGAGCGGCTGATACTTTGATAAGAATGGTGGAAAAGATCAGCTTCTTGCCTCCTACCTTCAGAAAAAGGTCTGAAAATCAGCCACTGTCCCCTTTTTGCTTTGCTGTGAGGACTACTGTACTTAATGCCCAGTTAAAACAAGTTTATATTGTTTCAAATGTATTGTTCAGTGTTTACCAATAAAATAAGATTAGAACATCAAAGGTGTACTGTGACCTTATAACACCTGAACGTGTCAGTTAGCCCTTTTACACAGAGTGTCAGCGCAGACACATTTTGTCCTTTTTTTTTTAAACACTGCAAGTTCTTGATCGTTTGTGCAATCTGAAAAATTCAAACGGTTTCTGAAAGCCGAGAATCTGGGCTTTTCGTTGATATAGGAGTTTCAAAGTAATATCACGTGACTAGCTGCTGCAGGCCCGGGAAGCAAGCTGTTTGTTTAGCCTCGTCTAAACACGCTCGGTGCACAGTGAAGTGGAAAGTTACAAGCGACAGCGTTTTTAATCAGAGCAGAGAGGAAATGTTTTGTTGAAATAATGTCTGGAAGATGTTCTTCAAGAGTCAAACCACCGCAGAGGTTCCAGGATGATTGAGACCCAAGAAGATGGTGAGGAATCGGCTTCTTGTGAGGACAGGTAACGTTTGTTTAATGGAGTTTGAGCATGTCATTCTTGTGAATGAAGCCAGTTTTTATTTTTATATTTTATGAATATGTGGATAGTTGTTTGTGTGTTTGTTTTTATAACGGTCATTTCGTTGGGTACATTTGTTGTGAGTTTTTCCTTAATAAACCTCAAAATATTTTCGTTTTTGGTTTTTATTCATTTAAAACTTATAATACATTACTTTAATAGGCAATAAATTTTAAATATATGCAAGATTTATAAAGTTTTAGTTATTGAAAAGAGTGCAAAATTATTTACCCACAGGACAATTGTCTTTTTTACAGGCAAAATAAGCAAAAAATAGCAGGCGGAAATTTTGACCCTTAGGTGTTAAATGGTAAAAAAAAAAATTTGAAAAAGATTAGAATCGGCATGTCAGACTTTAAAGATTGGGGATCGATTAGAAAACTGCATTTGGTGCACACCTTGTGGCAATTTATTGTGCAAGATTTCCAGGAAACCTGATTAATCTTTAGTTGTTGAGGCTGTCAGAGAAAATGCTGTGAGGGGCGGAGGTGGGATGCCGTTTATTTCTGAAAAGAGTTTTGCCTTGACCGCTTTTGTTTCATTTCTTCTCACAACCAGAAGTTTTACAGCTCATAATGTAGAGCCACCAGAGGAATAGTTAAATACCATAAAGAATGGACCAAACAGTAGGGCAAATTCTATGTTTATTTTGTAGTTTCTTTGTAACAAAATAAACTAGCCTGAAAAAATTAACAAAATCAAACTACAAAATAAGAGTACAACAAATTTCAACTAAGGTTTATGATCTCAGATAAAGTTCATCTCTAAGACTGGTTGACACTTTCAAAATATAACAATTTACATTTACCTTACACAATTTGCAACGCAACAATTTTGTGTTTTTTTTAATCCTATGTATTTAGAACAAAGGATGTCCTCAAATGGATGGAAGATCAATAATTTTGAGAAGATGTTTTAATATTTTGGAGGTAGTCAATTTACTCCTGCAATTAACACAACCCCTCAACTTTATGGATTTGGGAGGTGGGTATTAGGTTGGTTCTATTGTTTGTGTGTGTGGGTGTGGGGGGGGGCACTCCTTGTACAATGTTAAGGGGAAAGATTGGAAATCAAGCATAGTAATTTCTTTCCTCAGTGTACCTTGTGAAAATCTGACAGCTTCAGATCCATTTTCAGTCAGTTTCATAGTTCAACTCAATAATGATGCAAAATGTGTTTCACACACCTTTAGCCTTTAGTTTGAATTCCTTTGCCTCACATTCTTGTCCTTGTGATTTGCAGTAGAATTGCTCTTCCTGAAAGACAGAACATGAACGCTGCAACAACAGGCTACACTGACAGAAAATATACAAGAAAAGCTGTGGACTGTACTTACAGGGGAGCAGATCCTGAGTCGTCATCTGTAAAAAAAAACAACAAAAACAAGAACAGAGTTAATCACAGACCACATGTGATTATTGAGAGAAAAGCATTCAATTGCATTCTTTCCAACAAATCGATGGGGGCAAATGTTCAACCTCCAACATGATCAGAATGAGATTATAATCAAACCATGAATAGACATGCTCAACTGGTGCTTTTCTGAAAATCGTAAAAAAAGGCCTGCATTTAAAAATCCAAACCCATTCATTTACGTTTTAGACAAAAGTGTTACCAACTGCTACAGTGACAATTCTGTTGCTTTGCTCCAACACTTGAAAAGTGTGACTCTGTAATGTTTTAATACACTGCCAAACGTCAATCTTAAGCATCACAAAGGCTCATGCAATACAAGCAAAAGACAAAGAAACACTGCAACAGCTGTTTTAACAATAAACATTAACCTGGCAGAGACACCCTGATGATGTACAGTTATTCACACCTGAGCAAGATCAGGTTTTCATAAGTAGTACAGTTCCTTTAAGGCCAAGTGATGAATGAGACCAACTGTATACCGACCCCGAGGAGTGGGTTGCCTAAAGTTTGTCATGCATAAAGTACAAGATGCAGAAAGCATGCAGACACGTTGCCAAGAACCTAAACTTTCAACCTATCTAATGCAAAACCATTACATCAACGTCCGTGCCTCATCTGACTCTTTCATTGGCTCAAAAACACAATGATTTGAAGCGCCGTAACTTTAAAGTGAATATTTGAAGCTTGCTTTGTATTAAACAGTCAGCGCCAGTGAAAGAGTGACCAAATCTTTGAGCACATTCCTCTTAGAAGTGGTTACTATGAAAGCAGTTCATTCAGACTCCCATAGCTTTTCCAGGCGGTCATCATCTCAGCTCAACCACTTCAGTCTGACATGCAGTTTTGTTCACTTACCAAAATGCAAAATCAGCAGCGAACAGAGAAGTCATAAATGTAAATAAAAAAAAATAAAGTAAAAATAAAAATATATATATATAAATATATAGTTCTGATAGTTTACACAGCAGGGGAAGCCAACTCATGAGCTACAGTAAAAAAAAAAAAAAAAAGTAAAAACCCAATGAGACCAGTTTAATGCTGGACACATGCAGCTACAGTCATTTCATCCCCCTGTTGGTGTTTAAAAACATGTAAATTTACCCAGAGCTCATTTTAGTCAAGAAAACAACCTAAATGTTGTCTGTAACGATGTAGAAGACACTGTTCACGTACCGTCGTTGACCTCATCTGGCTTTCTCCTCTTCTCGTAGATGAAGATGATGGTCACGAGAATGATGACCTCTGCCACGATGCCAAGGAAGGGCCAGAGGGCAGCCAGGCGGCTGCGGACACGCAGGTGGATCTGGTCGCTGTTTGAACCAAGTTCGTTGGTCCCAGTGCAAACGTAGTCTCCAATATCCTTCTCGATGCTCAGGTTGGTGATGGACAGAATGGTCTTGTAAGGGGTGCTCCTGATCTCATATCGCTCAGTGCCATTAGAGATAGACTGAAGAGTAAATCCAAAGTTAGGAAAGCCAAAGATGAATTTATTCCCCCTAGATTGTCATCATTTGTGTTTAATGTCATTTCAAATGATACTTTAAATATTGCCATCTCACCGTTGCATTGCCATCCTCTTTTTTGTACCAAGTCCAGTCAGTGGGGAGGGGATGACCATGAGCCACACACGTTAGCATACCTTTGTCCTGTTCATTCCCATGCTCAGAGTGCTTGTAAGCACCAACATGGGGAAGCGCTACACAAAGTAACATTTGCACAAGTTATTTTTTTATAAAATGTAGACATTAACAAAAACAAAACCTCTAAAAAGACAAATTCATAATTTTATCAACTTACTTTTAACCTCTATTGTTGTCTTCAATGGTGGATCAGTCTCAAAAACACATTCATATTGTCCACCAGAATGGTAGGTGATCTTTTCCAAGCTGTGAAGGAGAGAAACTATGAGAACCCTGCGTGCCACTTCTTGTTAGGAACAAACATTTCCTCCAAGACCAAAGCAGTCACTATGTAACAGCTCACTGGTGGCCAAAGCTGAAGCTACTTTCATGATGGTGATTAGTTTTTCCACTTAGTTAAGTAGAAAATCCATAACAGAGAACAGTTTCTGCTCAAGAGCTGCAGGGTAAAACGAAAGCTGCTTGTCTGCCTAAATATTTCAGTTTTGCCCCCCATTTAATTACAATCGCACTTTTGTTTGGTGCTACTGTCCAGTACAGTTCTGCCATCCTGCTCTAATGGGGATTTAAGGTCAGGCAAATAAAGCACATTGCTCAGGGCTCAGATCTCTGCTGCCAAGACTGCCTGCAAAGCTGCACAGCTCCACGGCCCATCTTCCTGTTGATCAAGAGCCACGAATGGCATTCATAACTTAATGGAGGCAAGCCGGGAGGAAGGAATTCTCAGAAATAAACAGAACGCAAGGGTAAAGACAAGGCAACAGACATGCAAAATAGCCAACAATACACTGTGCACACAGACATTTGTTCTTCTATTCTTCTGGGGACTTTGCTTAGACTTCCATTCATTTGCCAGTTATTTTTTAGTGCCATCACTGCTCAATTAAAACACACAAGTATTTATGTTGCACTGTAATTGCAAGACAAATCTTCAGTAAATAAATTACTTACCGGAAAACCGTATAATGAGTGGAAGCTTTGGACCTGGATTCTTCAATTTCCTTTCCATTATGCGTCCAGTAAGAGCCCCCAATAGGAAGGCTAGTGTCAGTCAGGTTGCAGCTGAGAACAGCTGACGTTTGGTTGCTGACCTCCGAAGGTTCAGTAATGATTTTTGGGCCTTAAGATAAAGAGAACAATTATTAAGCTTTAATACTAAAATGTCAGCAACTATTAACATTACAATCAAATTTAAAAACACTCAACATTTGTCTTTAGAAAAAAAATCATTGATGTTTCAGCATTTAAAGAAAGAAAATTTACGAATGCACAAACATGAATTATGACACCTCGTGCTTGATACTTAATATCTTTGTAATATTTTTCTTTGCTTGGTGCAATTATAAATTAAGATAGCTTAAGACAATTGTTGAGTGCTAATTGGTTGGAGGCTTCAACACCAACCAAGTTCTTCACAGTTTCCACTTTTGAGATTCAAAATAAATAACTCTTCAGTGCAAATACACAGAAGGGGAAAAGAGCTCCTCAAATGAGGGATCTCTGTTCCACCAACAATGAAATGAAAGGAATAGAGGGTAAAAAAACACAGTAAAACTACAGGTCCTATAATAAATGCATGCAGAAGCAGCAACAACCGGAGAACAAAACCCACTGGCAGCTTACACTGCCAGTTACATTGATGTGATTACATAACTCTTTATACAAAGTAACAGACATAATACTGGGCTTCAAGGCAGAAACATGCCCCATGGCAGACTATGACTACAAGTAAAGACAAAAAGGGGTATTCACAATGTTAGTATCAATTAAGGATAATGTGATGTCTACCAGCAATGCCAGTATAATAATCTGACAGCCCTTTTTGTTTGTATTTTGAAATGTGAATTTTGTGAATTTATCTTGGTACAGAAGCCATTTGCAAATTTCCAGCCTTATATAACCAGTATTATATGCAAGAAATTCCATCATAAAAAAGGGACTTCAATGAGCATGGGGGAAAAAAAAGGCATCAGATTAAAACACACTTTAAAAATCAGGTGATACAGGATTAGGGAGCAGTCAGACTACGCTTCACAACCAGGTTTATATTCTACTACAGGATGACCTTGGAGATTTTCAGGAAAAGATAGGGGGAGTATGTACTAGATGAAGCAGGATGGAAGAGGGAACTGGACCAGGAAACCAGAAGCTAAATGTCCAGGATTTCACTAATGAGGCAACAGTCAGCTACGTTTGACTGGAGTCTCACGTTGTTTCTCTGCCACTCACTTTCAATCACAATAATGTTTGCTTGTGAGCGGATCCACTTGATTTTGGGGGTCTTCTTCAGATCATTGCGGTCAGGGTCGTTTGATGCACGGCACTCATATGTGCCAGTGTCGTCAAGGCTGAGGCTGGTCAGGTGAACGACGCTAGTGGCATGTGCTATGTATGTGGCATTTATTCTAACACAATCATTTCGTGCCCCATCAAACAGCTGGGTGAAAGTCTCATTGGGCTCTTCGCCCTCTATAAACCACCACTGCACTTCGGGGATGGGGTTCCCTATCACTTCGCAGTGCAGCTCAGCGCTGTCGTTGATCAGCTTCATTTGAGAGAGGGGAGATTTGATAAAACCCGCTGAGCACAATTAATGATCCGCCCAGCAAACAGAATTCATTCATTTACCAAGAAACCAGGTGATTGCATGAATTGGTGATAAAATGAAATGGAGAACAAAAAAAGAAGCACACAGAAAAGAGAAAGACAAAAAAGTTAACACAAATGAAAAATGACAGCAAGCACAAACAATATAGATCAGAGATAACATTTTTTTTAAATGTTATAGTCCAACTTAAAAACTCTGACCTATTAATGTTTAACATAAGAAACGCAACAGAGAGAGGGGGATGGCTAGAGCTGATTTGTCTGTGCAGCAAACCACATCCACTGATTTCTTTAAAGTAACATGCATTAAATACAAATATTTGCCTTTATTATTAAAGTATTTTAACTGATTTTGTGTGATCTCAAGCTAGGACTGGTGTAGTAGTACTCAACCGCTTCCTTTAAAAAAAAAAATAACTTTTTTTGGGCATAAACAGAAACTGTACAACTTTTGACTATATGCTTAGTTTTCTTTGCTGTCTTTCCATTTTATGGTCCTGTCAGCAGTTTTTTTCTGCAGCAGGGCATTATCAAAATATGGGGAGAAATTGACATTAAAATTACATTCACCTCAGTGAAACCATTCTCCTTAGATGAACCTTAGTTATTGTCCAAATCGGTTGGCCCTTAATATAGTTAAGAGATTAGGAGCCACAATAGGCGTGTTTGTGCCAAGAGAGGAGTTCTCTATCCAGCGTGTCCTTTACTATCATTTGAGGAGGAACCAACCACCCCATGAAGGTTAAATGCAATAAATGCCAATAGTCATAACGTTCAGACACGTCCAACTTGTGTACGTGATATCAAACTGCCTAACTGAGCCAAAGGATCAGCCGACATGTTTGAGTGACTTGTTATTTCTGCTTTGGTTTATATAATTACACATTAAAACAGAAGGCTTACACAAACAAGATTTATAGTCATGGTGTCTCTCCATACAGTTGATAACTCCTGCCACCCATTTAAGAAAAGCTACACATTATTTGATTCAATAAATGTTAAATTTATTGCCGCTAAAAGCAAAACCTACTTCAACTTGTCTCAGGCCAGAAACTCAACTCTGCAGTGGTTTGATGATTAATGAGGACAGTTTGACTAAGCAAGAACAGTGACTGCTGACATGAGAAAAAAAGCCTGCCCCCTCCCCAAAAATAAAATACATTAAATGAAAACAGAACAGAAGCATTTTCATTAAATTAAGACAACGCAAAATGAATGAGAAATGTAAACACAAAAGCAGATGATGACGCAAGGATGAAAAAACTTAAATGTATATTATTTTTATTATAAAATCGTACGGGAATTTGCATCTTCGTTGTGCCAGAACTGAGAACTGTCCTACACTCATAACTAAATCTAGGTTGCCAGTAGATATTTTTAGATCGTCGTGCTGTTGATTTAATGGCAGTTTTACACAGATCCACCTCAAGGGAAAAAAAATTCACATGAAAATGTGTTTCATCTCATCGTACTATGTAAAAGTCAGAAATGTGTTGAACATTGTGTCAGGAATCTGGTCAGATTAAAAAACAGTTTGGTACATTTGGTTATATTCCTGATCCTTGTCACCATCCTGCATTTTATTTTTGTTGTCAGCAGGGTTGGGCATAATCGTATCGTGTGCAATTAATCGTAAGAAAAACAATCGATTATTTTTTTGCACTTGACAATTAATACAATTAATGTCACCTGGCAGATTGACTAGATATTTCCCCAGTCAGTCCACTCAGTGCTCCTCTCCGCTTCAAATATAACGAACATAAAAAAAATTAATAAATTCTGAAATTTATTTATCTAGCAACACAATTTAAAATTTGATGTACAACCCGAATGTATAGCCTGTCTGTAATTTTGAAAGTTTGGAACAGATTTTTATGAAGAACAAATCTTTCCAACTAAATTAGTCATGTGACCAGGACATAAGGGTGTCCAGGGACTCCAGGGGATTAATTGTCATCGTTATCGGCTAAATACCACAATTAACGTGATTAATTTTTTTGCCAATATCGCCCAACCCTAGTTGTCGGTCTTTAAGTTCCACAGAAGTCTGATAAACACTCATTTAAATCATGTGTGTCAGAGAGAATCACCTAAAACCACGCAGGATAGTGGTCCTCGATGCTCCATGAGTGGGCACCTGTTAACCTTTTCTGAAGAACTGAGTGACGTGCTTATTTTGCTCTAGACTGGCCAAACATTTCCACTCTGCTAGTGTACATGAAGGGGACTGGAGTGGTATCTTGCCAGTCTAGAGCACAATAAGCTCCTTGTCCAACAGCTTAGACCATTCACAAAATCATTTAATTCCATCTAACGTTTTAGTTTCATACACAGAAATGTTAAATCACCTCACCTGCATTAACCAAGCAGCAGCAGAACAAAAACAATACTAGTTGTCAACATGAACCTTAGCCCCTTGTGAATACTGCGCAACTTTCCCTACTTGGAAGAACTTCTCTACCATTACTAAAAAGGTCACCTTTATAGTCCATGTTGTACAGCCCTTCAAATATAACTTACGTCTTCTCCCCAAGTATGATGACATTTTATTTACCATGTATGACATTCTGCTCTATAACCCGAGAATAACACTTGTGCATGAAGTTCTTTCAAAAGATCAAATGTCCGAAGTCAGAATTTGACATTTAAATGGAGGTCAGACAGCACAGAATAAATGCAACTGTAGAGGTCCCAAGTTACAAAAGGTTACCTTYCAGTTTAAATACTTGAAATACAGGCCTGTCAAGAGATTAGCATAATTTTTTTTAAACGGCTGCTTTTTGCCTTCAGTCAACCAGGTGGTTAAATTAACAAATAAGAATTTGCTTTTTTAGCTAAAAGGAGTTTCTAAACTAAAATAAAAAAAAAGGTTACGCACCTCAGGCTATTTATTTACGACACTTAAAAGCATGTTTACAGTTCACACAACACAAAAAAAGGTTTCATGTTTATTAGTGRGCTATTCTTTTAGTTTGAAAACAATAACTCTTAAGATTAAAAAAAAATGCAAAAATCTCTTAAAGCAGAGTAAAACATTGTAAAACATTGTGTCATTTAAACCCAATGAGAATGTATGAATATAGGTGTTGAACACGATGTTCTGGCAAACACTGAAAAACAAGCCAATCAATCAGTGCTGCTCTAATATGGGGYAAAAAAAAAGTCCAGGACTGTAACCACTAAGCTGTGGTAGACCAACTTGTTCCGCACAGCTAGATGCGTGTCAGAAAGCAGAAAACATCATACAAGAACTATGGAGTGAATGTGGAGCAGCACTCTCCAAATAATGAGGAATGGTTAAGTGTTGAATGCATTTAGTCAGCTGACTAAGATTTGAGATGCTTATTTTGTGTTTAGCCTGACTCTAGGACACCTAAAATTAATAATAATAATAATTCATGTTAACAAAATAGGCACACAGCAAAGCTATGGTTACTGGAAATGTCAAAACACGTTAATCTAAAAAAAAAAAAAAAAGAATTTAGTGCTTATATTTACTTAATTTGGGACTAACTAAATTTGAACCCAAAAACAAGATTTCATTTGTCTGCATTTAATCCCATCAATCATTAAGGAGCAAAATGGGGAGGGAGTGTTAGGCAATAAAACTAAATCAGTTTCAGGTCACAGCATTTAAATATTTACTGGAGGGTAACCAACATCTTCCTACACACCTAAAACGATTTTAATCCGTTTTAGTAATTTCTACGTTACGCAACTGCGAGTTAATTTTACCTCAGCTCAGCTACAATGGGCTTTAGCAAAAACACACATCGTGTGAATTAACACGAAGCTCAACTGAGCCACACTGAACCAAACATTACCTAGTTATGAGGAAACCACAAGTTTAAATTAAAGTAAAACGACACTTGAAAATGTTTCGAAATGAGTGAACCTCAGTCAATGAGTCACGAAACGCGCTTCAGTGCTGATTTCAGAAGCAGCTAAAATGTTTCGCTAGCAAGAACAGGCTGTGGCCTCAACGACGTCAAACAATGTCATTTTTCCAACTTGTAAAAAGGAAAAAAAAAAGTGTTACAAATTTTCGTGGCAGGTCCTGAAAATACATTTGACGGTAAAAGTCGCTGAATGTCCGCAAACACACCAAAACGTTCGCTGTCCGGAGCAAAGTCAACATCTTCATCCAACATGGCCGATCTGCGTTCTTACCTGTGGTCGCATCGGCTCTCCACGAGCTCAGCAGCAGAGCCGTCAGAGCCCACAAGAACTTCATAACTGCTCGGGTTTTCGTGACAGGAGCCTCCGACTGCTTCTGGAGTTCAGCGTCTGTCTTTGTCGGGAACGACCACTCTGTGTGTCCAACAACGACACTGACCCGGCTGGTCGTCCTTGTTCTTTACGCACACGCCCTTATCCGCACGTACACGTGACGTATCAATGAGCGGACGTACGTCAGAGGAAGTGTTTTTTGTTTTTCATCTTAAAAGCCTTAATTTTCTAAACAAATATTTCTGAGGCAGTGACTTTAGTAACTGTACAATATAAAATAAATTATATTTGTTTTGCTACAATATATTTGTGATCAATACTAAAAAAGTTTTTTAGATACTTTAAATCAGAGCTACTATCCTAACCAGTTTCTCTGCTCTAACACACTTTAATCAGTGATTCAATTACCTCTTCCCAGTTCCACAGAAACCTGTTTATCACCAATTCATTGAAARCAGATGTGTTGGAGCAGAGAAAGAAATAAACACACAGTACAGCACCAAGCTGAAGTTTGCTTCCAGGATCAGGACTGGACACCCCTGTTATAAGAAAAAACTGTACTTTTCACACAGACTTAAATTTTTTTAGGCACCTTACACAAGAATATTTGTATTATTAACATAACAAGARTACTGTTTGATAAACATACGTCAGGAAAAACTGGGTTCATATGTAAAGCTAGGCACAACCTGGAGTCATTTGTGAAAGAGAAGGAATTATTTTAGAACCCCAACTGCAGTGAAGTTGGGATGTTGTTTAAAACAAAGACAAAACGACAATTTGCAAATCATTTTCAACCTATAAGTAATTGAATGCACTAAAAAACAAAACATTTAATGTTCAAATAACTTTTTCTTTTCCTTGTAAATATTCACTCATTCTGAATGTGATGCCTGCACGTTCCCAAAAAGCTGGGTTAGGGGTAACAAAAGACTGGGAAAATTGAGGAATGATTAAAAAAAAGGTGCATTCTACAAGTGAACAGGTTAAATGAAAACAGGTGAGTGTCAGGATGAGGTGTAAGTGGAGCATCCGTTCACAATAAACTAGGGCTGCCACAAACGATTATTTTAATAATCAACTAATCACTGATTATTTATTCGATTGGTCGATTATTCGGATCGTACATTAATTGAATATAAAACATACAGCTTATCACATCAGAATGCAGCTGCTATTATATAACCATGGTTAGATTTAACTATATGCTAACTAAAAATAATTGCTGTGGAAGGCAAGTTCTGCTCTGCAGATATTATACAGGTTTTTCTTTCATTTTCTTAAAATGATCCCACACTTTTGAGCTCCGTTGTCAGGTAGCCATGATACCAGAGCCTGTCTGTATAATGTCTTGTGACGTCCACGGCCTACCCCAGTTACCACTACTGRGCATGTGTGTCAAGGACAGAAAGGCAGATGTGGCAGTGGAAGGTGTCAAAGCATTTTGGAGAGAAAAACAAAGTAAAGAACAACAACAAAAAAAGAAAACAATTAATCGATTATTAAATTAGTCATTGATTATTTTAATAATAGATTAGTCGTCGATTAATCGTGGCAGCCCTACAATCAACGACGTGTTGAGGTTCACCAATCGTGAACAAATGCATGAGTACATTATAAGTTGTAAAGAATGTATAAATCATTGTACTTTGTATGTTTCACACAGTGTCCCAACTTCATTGGAATTGGGGTTTTACATGCAAAATATTTAAATAATGGGAAACCAAGTTGTCCTGATGCATCTCGGTAATCCAGGTAAAAAAATCAAAAGGAAAAAAAAATTGTATAGGTCCTCTGGATGGGTTTCTCTTTAATGAAATGTTTCATCTCTCTTCAAAGAGACTTCAGTCTGAGAGTTTCAGGCAAAATTCAAGCTTTTGAGTCCTGCCTCCAGGTGAATGATACTCACATCACATGGCTATCGTTCACACCTAATTAATACCTATTGTTCACAGGGGGTGGAGAGATACTGCCAATGGCAGCGCTGTAGGAGGGGGACAGCTGAAAACGGAGGCCCCCACCTCCGTTTTATGATGGGACGGTCTTTCTTCACAAAGATGGCTTCTTTTACTCCTCTCTCAAACCAACGTTCCTCTCTATCAAGAATGAGAACATCCTCATCTCTGAAAGAGTGATCCTCAGAGATGAGGATGTTCTCACAGAACATCCTCACAAGATGAGGTGAAGATGAACATCCTCATAAGATGCTTAGCATCATGAGATGCTAGTAGCCATGATACTATGATACTTCATGAGATGCTAAGCATCTTAATCCAGATCACACTGTCAGAAATTATTTTCCAGAAGAAAAGAAAACAAAAAAACAGATCTTTTGCAAAGTACTCCATATGACAACATGGAAGTCATGATTAGTTAGCGTTCAAATCTTTTTCATAGCAAATTTATTTAAGATTTTCGTCCAAATATTCTTCTGGAATTATCTTATTTGGACTGCAAGTAAAAATATGGACAATTTTATAAAACACTGTCACAAAATAATACAGCAGTAATGAGTTCTGCCTGTATTATTCTGAACCTGTAGTAACTTTACATGAGCCTCTCATATTGTATTCCATGGTACATAGTAAAACAGCACAATATCGATCACATTGTGAGGAAAAAGGACTCAATATAAATAAACAATCACATTGTAAAGTCAACTCTAAAGTCATAAATTTGAAGCATTCATTTGTARGTATCCATTAATGTTCTGTGCACAACAATCCCTTCAGATTAAAGCCTTAAAACCTAAAACCCCAAGAGAAGAGAGGTACAATACAGAGGAAATACACACACATGGCTAAACAATTGAAGGAAGCAAATTGTACTTGGCTCATTGATGATATTCATCAGACAAGTGCATCAGTAAAGGCTTTAATAGACGCATTGTTTACTGTTCACATGCCTTTGGGCCAGGCATCACTTTGAAAATACAAAATTATCTCAAAGCCTTATTATGCATTGAAAACAAGTCTACAAGTGTTTCTTAAAGGAGGTTATTGTTCCCTGATTGTTCCAAGAGTGCAAGGCACTGAGAAAGGAACAAATAAATCAGACTGCAGGATACAAGAACAGCTCATGTTTGGATCATTAAAAAGAAAAAAATATAGGGTATTTTTCGAAAAGGAAGAAGTGGCAACTTGTGATTTCTTTGCACAAGTTATGAAAGCACATTTTAAATAAAATATTTGGTGGTGTGTACTTGCAACAAAACAACAGATTTAATGTACATTTTCTTTTAAATACTGCAGTCAATGACAGAATGAAAACAATAGCAACATTTGTAACAACAGTGGGAAAAAACTGTTGAAGTTTTTGTGTGGTTTGGCATTTAAAAACCAAACCGTGAGAATGACGAGTATAAACTGAGTGAAGCGTACAAACCTAACCCATTCCAATACATTTTCTGGTTTAAAATTATCTTGAAAATTCTTACTTTTATTAATCCGGAATTACAAGAAATCATGTAAAATATTAATGCCTCCTTATTCGGCTAGCATATATTTCCCAGAAATCGTTAGGTGTGTAATTCAGAAGAGATTATCAAATTTATTCAAACAACTTACTGCTTTTTCACTGATAAATCCAAGTGCAAACAATGGTACCTGAGACATGTCAGGTAATTCTAAATCAGCTAACAGATTAAAAAAAGTTAATAAATATATAAACTATTAGAAAATTTCATTGAAGACAAAAAAGCAAAAACAATTTTACCCACACTCATCAATAAATCTTAGTGCACACATTAGCAGTGCACTTAGGCTACATTCACACTGCAGGCAAATGTCACCTCAATCCAATGTTTTTGCCCCCATGTGAGCCATATTGTTTCATAGTCCGAACATAACACATTCAATGTTTTCAAATCTGACCCAGGTCTTTTCAGTATGTAGTACTAAATCGAATACATATCAGATGTTTTTCAAAGTGCAGATAATTATTTAATCAGACCTGATTGCACAGAAGTCCTCTAAAGCTGCGCAGCCACAGTGACGTGGCGTCTTGCTCTGTAGCAACGAGCTAAGCTCCTGTGGCCTGCTGCTCAGAAGAGTTTAACTCAGAGTTATATTGAGCTGTAACAGCTCAGTAAATGTTGATGACATGTGGAGACAGCAGGTAAAAACAGAGGAAGAAAAGAAGTCGGAGGATTTTATCAGAGCTAAAGATCAGGAAGATGAAAACACGGAGCTCTGTTCAGAAGCTGCTTACAGCCTCAACCATCATCTGCAGACATCAGGTTTGTGTCTTTTTAATTCTTTCTCTTCAATCTGATCATGTTACAGTTTAACTGCAGGTTTGTCACAGTAAATGGAGTTAGCTTCTGTGTACGTCTTTGTGCTAATAGCATGCTAATGCTAGCCAACTTCTCAGTAATCCACACATGCTAACATGTAGCATCCATATGTACTTGTGTAAACTCAGCGTGCTGAGTGACGTCATGTTGTCTTCTGCACATGCTAATGTAGAGTTCACACTGAAGTCTGATGGAAGTCACACTTAAATTATAATATAAACAAGCAACAAAAAAAATCTGATTTGAGAAAATAATCAGAATTGAGCATTAAGAGAATGTAGCCTTAGTCACTGAAAAATATAAATGCTAAATAAAAACGAAAGAACTACGAGTTCATTCACTTTTGGCAAAAACATGTCTTCTTAAGTTGTACAAGCCTAAAGGGAACAAAGAAAGAGGAGTGATAATTGTCTTGGTGTTCATAGTCTTCTGTCTTTGGAATTCTTTCGTTCCTCTGCTTGCATGAAGTGCTTCAATGGAGCTGAGCTTTTTGAAGTTTCCACACCTTTCCGCATCCTCCCTGCTAGAAGCTTCCTCTCTCCTATTGTTCAGACCCCTGACAGAGGTGTGTGTGTGTGTGTGTG